TCAAACTATTTATATGTTTACACACAGTTTGAAGATGGTAAGCCATCCATCCATCCACCTGTCTGTCCATCCAGTCATCCAAAAATGTCTCACAAGAACTCAAGTTTCAAAAAGTCTTTATGCTATGATTTCCAGCTAATTTCAAATTTTGAAGTTTTTCACATTAGTTTTTGGACTTTCTTAGATCCACCTTCTTTTGGTTCCTGGTTGATAGATGTCTCATTGGAATTCATAACACATCTCCTTATTTTTATATTTCATCATCAAAAACTGAAAGTTTTTCATGCATCTCACGATAACTCAGGTACAGTGTGACTAATTCATTTGAAGTTTTTACACTATGCTAAGTTTTATGAATACAATGTACCTTTTGGTTTTGATATTACCAGTTCAGCGACTGTTGTGATTTTTTCAGTTTTTATGATTTATTGGACAACTATATTTGGTATATAGAATTATTCCAAGGTATACATTTCTTTCAGACAGGGTTCAACTGACCTTGAACTCAATTTATGGATCAGTAATCATGTTTAGTTTTTGTCGAGCCTGCGACATAGGGATAGTGATCAGCTGGCAGCGGCGTTAGCTAACTTCTTAAAAGCTTTATATTTTAGAAGCTAGAAGACCTGGATGCTTTATACTTTGTATATAGATGCCTTATGTTAAGAAGTTTCTGTCTGTCGTATGTCCATTGTCCTTGACTTCATTTTCATGGTTCAGTGACTACTTGAAAAAAAAGTCAACGTTTTTTGTAATGTTAATTTCTTTCTTATTATGAGTAATAGGATAACTATATTTAGTATGTGCGTACTTTGCAAGATCCTCATGCCCGCAGGTTTTATTTGACCTTGACCTCATTTTCACGGTTCATTTCTCAGTGTTAAGTTTTTGTGTTTTGGTCTGTTTTTCTTCAACTATAAGCAATAGATCAACTATATTTGTTGTATGGAAGGATTGTAAGGGGTATATGTCTGTCTGGTAGGTATCATCTGACCTTGACCTCATTTTCATGGTTCATTGGTCAATGTTAAGTTTTCATGGTTAAGTTTGTTTCTTAGATACTATAAGCAATAGGTCAACTATATGTAATGCATAAATTGATTGTAAGGTGTACATGTCTGTTTGGCATGGTTCATCTGACCTTGACCGCATTTTCATGGTTCGTTGGTCAATGATGAGTTTTCTTGGTTAAGACTGTTTCTTAGAAACTATAAGCAATAGGTCAACTATGTTTGGTTTATTGAATGATTGTAAGGTGTACATGTATTTCTCGTTTGGTTTATCTGACCTTGACCTCATTTTCTTGGATCATGTTAAGTTTATGTGTTACTTGTAGTAAAGCTTTATATTTAGGACTATCAACATAAAATCAATGGTTAGTAAAGAAGGTGAGACATTTCAGCATGTGCACTCTTGTTGTGAATAAATCAGTTTCTTAGATACTATAAGCAATAGGTCAACTATATATTTGATGTATGGAATGATTGCAAGATATACATCTGTGACTTCAGGGTTCATCTGACCGTGATCTTATTTTCATTGTTAATTTTGTTTTTAAATTTTGTGATTATGTTAATTTTTCAGATACTTTCAGGGATGTTAAGCAACCAACAATCAATCAATCAATCAGACTCCTTAAGGTGAAGGTCAACTAGATTTTGTGTTTTGAAAGATTGAAAGATATACATGTCTATCTGCTAGGGTTCATGTACCCTTCACCACATGTTTATGGTTGACTAGTAAATGTTTGTGAATGGGCCAGTTTCTCAGGTACTATGACCAGTAAGTCAACTATATTTGGTTATAAATGATTGTAAGGTGTACATGTCTCTCACTGGTAGGTTTTATCTGACCTTTCCATCATTTTCATAGTTTATTGATGAAAGTTAAGTTTTCAGGAAACATTAAACAATAGGTCACCTCTTATTAGGTGTATTGCATGATTGTTAGGTGTGTACATGTCAGACTGGCAGTGTTCCTCTGATCATGACCGGGTTTTCATGGTTTAATGGTCCAAGTTAAGTTTTTATGAATATGTTGGTTTCTCAGATACAATACCCTAATAAATTGGTCAGCTCTATATTGTGTATGAATTTCATCTGACATTGACCCCCTTCTCATGGATCATTGATGATGATAAGTTTCTGTTATATCTATATTAAGACCTTGATAGTAAATTTCAACACTAGAACTTATTATAGAATTTGATAGTGTTTTCCTGAAGTTTCCAGGATTATTGATATTTTAATATTACAACAATGTACCATAGAATTTAATACACGTGTTATTACCTCTTCTTACAATGTTACTATTTATACAACACATTCTCTTGTGAATTTTCTACTTCACAGAAAATTAAATTTTATAGAAAATGTTTCACTCTCCTCAATGTGGTTGATGTTTGAATTTTGTCATATTATCTCGAGGGAAAATGTAACATCTAACATACTATGGTTCTTTTAGACAAACGATACCAAGTGGGAACAGGAATGACTAGAGTCAATTTATTTCACTATTTTTAACTCTTTCATGTAAAAACTTAAATCCTTGACATTGAAAAGGTTGAACAAATAAAAAACAGACCAAATGTAATGAGTCAAAAATACTATTCAAGAAGAAATTTTAATTAAGTCTTTAATGCAGCAATTCTTGATACACTTTAATTAATTGTGTCTAGCCACAACATTGAAGAAAAACAATGCACTGTACATTTGACCTTAATGCAGGTATTTGACTTTCTTCATGTTTCTTGGTATAATTTTCTGTTGCCAGTCCTCCTTGCAAGTAATAAGCAGATAATTGGTATATAATTGTTGAATAAAAAAAGACAATTAAATCTGCTTGATCTACTTTTGTACTTTTGACCAATATACAGCTATAAATAAGACTTCAAATATGTTATAAAGTTTTCAGTCATCCTTGAGGATATTGAATTCAATTGGACAGTTTTAAGGGATAACACTTTTCATAAACATATTAACCAATTTGATAAAATGGCATGATTAAAAAAAATAATAATAACTTTCATAATGGACAGGAGGTTTGGGGAAAAAAATCTGTTTACCATAATATATAAAGTGGGTTAACAGGAATCACTGAAATACTGCACAGTACAACACACTACATCAACCACCATTTATTCATCAATTAAAATCTTATGGGAGTTATGTCCCCTTAACATAATAGTTCATACTTTTAGTATCTTATTTGAATCGTACCTTGAATAAATTTCCTAGGAAGGGATTGTATGTGGTGCAAATAAACCTCCCAAGTGGTTATTTTACAATTATCTTTTAAAGTTCCCCTCCCTTGCATTGAGTTAGCATCCTAAAAATCTTAAACTGATGTTAGAACTGCCTGTGTAAATCAATTGTAATGATTTTAGGTCAAGAGCTTATAATATTTGAATATAAGTTTTATTGTTAGCCATCTGTTTTCAAGTTTAAAAATCACTAGAAAGCTTATAAAAACCTACAGGCTGTTTACAGTTTGTAAAATCAACGTATATTCAGATTTAAAAAGCCGAACGGAAATTATCTTCCAACTTCAACATATGTTTCACTGCCAATTTACATTTTTATAAACAGTATGTGCTTACATTATACAAATATTTTGATTTATTTGACGGAAATGGCTTGAATGTATGAAAGTAGAATTGAAAGAATTTTCACTTAGAAATGTGCAATATGTAAATTATTTCTCTCAAATTGTTACCAAGGATGACAATAACGTGAAACACATGGACTCATCGATAAAACCATCATTTCACAAAGGAAAATTGGGTCGTAAATTTGTTTTTCATATTGCTGTGTTGAAAAAAATAGAATTACAAGTTTTAAATCTATAATTGAAATCAGCTGAATATTTTTAAAAGTACAATAAAGAACCATTTGTGTCCTCCAAGATTAGTTTTAAGAATGCTTAGACAGTAATTTTATATCTTTGTTATTATAAAAACCCATTTTATAAAAATGATTTTTTTTCTCAAATATGAAATAAATCAGCTGGATGCTGTTGTTATCTAAACAATAAAAATCTAAACAACACACTGTTACAATGTTTAATCTTGTAAATTAATTAACCTAGAAGGAATTATGAGAACTTTGTCCTACATTAAAAAATGTGTCATATAAGTATTTAAATGTCCAAATGTAGTGTGAAACAGTCAATTTTAATGATAAATTTGGAGGTTGGTACAGTGAGGTTGTGAGAAGTACTTTATCTTATCAGTCATTGTAATATCAGTTTTATGTACATCATGAACTGCTTTGATTCAATATAAAAAAACACTGGACATAAAACTGATTTTTTTTTTGGGGGGTAAAAAATCCTACCTCTATTTTTCCCTGAAATGATTTGAAAATCCATTAGCATTATTTAAAACACAAAAAAAAAATCTTTTCATAATTAAAAAAATCTGCTGTATATATATCCCCTCCTTCCCAAAAAAAAAAAATGCAAAAGAAGAAGAAAAGTTACAAGTGGTTTAACAGGACCCCAATGCCAAAGCCTGTGTACTTTATATCTTCATTAGGAAAAAGCAATGACATTTAGTTTTATTTACTGTAAACCAACTCATTTTCATGACTTTCGTGAGTAGAAAAATAAAGCGACTATGTAAAACTTGGATCTTCCGTCAATTAAATACTGGAAGTAAATTTGAAAATTGAGAAATTAAATCACCTTGTTGTGAGCTAGAAAGGGCTAAACATGACAAAGTATACACGAAAAAAGTAGATTTAAAGTGTATATTATTTATGGAAAAGTCATACAAATAACTAGAGGTTGGCGCATTAAGAAAGACTTAAGCTGTTAGCAGTTTACCTTTAGAAAATACCTCCAAAAGCCATTATAACTCAACTTTATATTAGAAGAACTATGACAAACTAGAAAAGGTTGCCATTCATACTTCTTATTTTAAAACTTCATGAATCAATGATTGGTTTGCAATGACTTATTAATTGTTGAGCCACAATTTAAAGTTATTTTTAATATTACAGGATTTACCCCTTGAAGAGCTAAAGAAAAGATGTTTAGAACATCTAGAAATAATGTCCAAAAAAAGAATCCGAGGAATTTTATCAGGTAATCTATAAATGTTTAAAGCATTGTTGTACATGGTGTTTATGCCCAATCTACAACAGTTACGTTTTGTTTTCTGGTCTCTGCATCTGTCACATATCAGGTCAAAGTTTTGGTTTGCGGTAGTTTGTGGTTACATCAACTTGTAATTTAGTACACATGTTCATTATGAAATGAACTGTTTAATAAATATGCAAAGTAAAGGTTTGACAAATATTACATGGTTGACTGAACATGAAAATGAGACCCTGCAAGCACAGCCAAAAGGATGGCCTTCATCATGGTCTTTCAGCCAAATGGAGGATGTTTAGTTAGCAATATATTTTTGTATTCCAGCTGCACTTGCAAAAGTCATATGAGGTATGTTTGCTTGAAAAAACTATTCCTCAAGATACTGAATAAAATTCAGTATCAAATTAAGAGCACTTTTATTACTTCGTTGACAGACCACAAGGTTCTGATCAGTATGGTATTTAGCTATTCAAGTTGGCAAGAAAAAAGTTCATATGTTTCAATTAGATGTGTAAATTTACAAGTTAGTTTTACAGAATAAAGTGCATGTTCATTACAGGTGATGATCCAGGAACTATTTCATCATCTGGAACAGAGGAAGATTCCTCTGGGGAGGAACAGGAGGAAGGTAATATGATCAAGGATAGAGTTAATCCTAAAGTATAAATTGTCTTGGTTTAGCAGGTCACAGACTAAGTCAGATAGGTGGGATAAGATTTGCTAACCTTTTGCTGTCAGCTAGCAATGTTGAAGAAAACAAAATGTATTTGACTTTTGATGGTGATTCCGTAATTCAGTTGTCTTTATACAGTAACTTCATAATTTATTTGTCTTGTCACAGTGATTCCGTAATTCAGTTGTCTTTATACAGTAACTTCATAAATTATTTGTCTTGTCACAGTGATTCCGTAATTCAGTTGTCTTTATACAGTAACTTCATAAATTATTTGTCTTGTCACAGTGATTCCGTAATTCAGTTGTCTTTATACAGTAACTTCATAAATTATTTGTCTTGTCACAGTGATTCCGTAATTCAGTTGTCTTATACAGTAACTTCATAAATTATTTGTCTTGTCACAGTGATTCCGTAATTCAGTTGTCTTTATACAGTAACTTCATAAATTATTTGTCTTGTCACAGTGATTCCGTAATTCAGTTGTCTTATACAGTAACTTCATAAATTATTTGTCATGTCACAGTGATTCCGTAATTCAGTTGTCTTTATACAGTAACTTCATAAATTATTTGTCTTGTCACAGTGATTCCGTAATTCAGTTGTCTTATACAGTAACTTCATAAATTATTTGTCTTGTCACAGTGATTCCGTAATTCAGTTGTCTTTATACAGTAACTTCATTAATTATTTGTCTTGTCACAGTGATTCCGTAATTCAGTTGTCTTATACAGTAACTTCATAAATTATTTGTCTTGTCACAGTGATTCCGTAATTCAGTTGTCTTTATACAGTAACTTCATAAATTATTTGTCTTGTCACAGTGATTCCATAACTCTTTGTCTTGTCACTGTGAAGAAAAAGATGTGAACAATTACAGGTCACAGTACGGCCTTCAACTATGAGCAAAACATACAGTATAGTAAGCTCTAAAACCTGGGTATGACATAAGGTGGAAGCAACCAAGGACGACCACTGGATTCCTGGCGTTCTAAAGCCACATAATGACTGGAAAAAAGTGTGAACCAGAGGTGAAGAGGTGGAAGGTTAATATGTTTGTGAGCCTAAAAATCAGTTGGACTGGGCTTATCTCCTTAGATCTGTAACAAGGACAAAAGCATATAGTAAAAGACAAGGAGTAATAATTGTGTTGCCGTATCCAAATCAGTTTTTGTCTCGCCTGTGACGAAATTTGCAGAAAGCAAGACAAAGGGATTGCTTTTCCGTAGACAGCTGTGGCTGCGGTGACAGCTTCAACAATTGTTAAGTTTTCTGCTTAAGTTAGTTTGATAGGAACTACTTGTGCTAGATCAATGATATTGTGTATAAAGTTGCGTTACTATCAGTATTTCAAGGCCCTGCCCCCTAGGGGATGGTCCAGTGACTTTCAATCAATTACTGTAAGTTCAGAAATTATTGCGTGCATTTATTATTGCGATTTTTCAAAAATTGACAAGAATGCAAGTTTAATTATTGCGATTTCAGACAAATCTACATACAGATCTATGTTTTAGTTATCAAAATGCGAGTTATTATTGTGATACTCATCTAGTCGCATTATTCGCATTAATAAAAACCTCGCAATAATTTCTGAATTTACAGTAACAATTTTCAATGTTAAGTTTTTTGATTAAGTTAGTTTGATAGGAACTACATGTACTTACAATAGACAATATTTTCTATAAAGTTACATTGCTGTCTGTACATCTCAGTTTGTCTACCATTTCGAGGCCCTACCCACTAATTAATTAGCAATGTTGCTGTCCATCGGATTGTCTTTTTCTGAATGTTATGCCGACAGGCGAGACATATCTCTGTGTCAACAGTTTATCAACTGGAAGCATTTGGATTTTGATATATAGGCTTCTGTTAACTTATTCATTGATTGATTGATAAATTGATTGAGATTTAATATAAACAAAAGGAGATATACATGTATCATGTTAATGTCAAGGTGACACTTTTTCAATGACAAAGTTTTACAAAAAAAAAAAGAAATAAGGATATCTTGAGCACATTACATTGTCTTCAAGGACCAACAAGTGGTACTACAATTTGGCAAGCTTTAGATTGCTTTCAGTCAGACAATGAAATTAACACTTTATAAATAAAACTTTACAAGTTATGAGTAAATAACAACAGAAGATGTGACATAAAATTCATATTCTGATAAATGTTCATATACACAAATATATGGTGGTATTAAAAACCACTGTCATTGGTTAAAAGGTAAGCTGCTGTGGGATTTGTTAGTGAATTCAGGTCATCTAGGTACCATCTTGTACTTGCAGTGACATTTTAGCTTTTGCTTCTTGTAGAAAGCCTCACTGTGACTTTTAGATGAAGAGCAGCAGTAAGAGTGCTGTTTTCTTTGCTTTAGGTTTGGTCGAGTGTGTTGAGGAATTAAATGTCTTTCTCCCTTATAATTCTAATGACATCACCATGAATCAAACATAGAAACCATTGCACAACATTTTGAAACTTGATATTGCAAGTAAATTTAAATGAATATAGTTTTGATTTCTTTTTGATAAAAAATAAACAATAGACAGTCTGTTATTTCATTTATCCAAGAAAAAAAGTAAATCATTTAAAAGAAATTGTCATCTTGAAATAAATCTAAATAAAATGAAAAGTATTAGAATTTAAGAAATTGTCTAATTACACATTTTTAGATTAAAAGTATTATGGATTTTGTTCATTTTTCCTTGGCTAAAGATTAATTACTGTCTGACTACTATTTGACCCTTATTGTCCATATTAGGTAGTTTCTACTAGATCTTATGTAAACCTTTTATTTCTAACCCCCTCTGGGCCTATGGTCATAAAATTGGTCAATAATTTGTCAAGTCCTATTTCTTCTTTCCTTTTGATGATTACAAAACGGAGATCTCAATTAGTGTTTTATTGGTTCCACGATCAAAAATGAAGAATTACATTTATTTTATTTGTTGAAATTATTGGAGAGGATGACATTTAATATTGGTTTGGTAATGTCCAGCTAGAATGGAAGATAAAAGCCAAAAAACATATTTTATTGTTTTTATGATGAATTACAAAAGGATAGATGTTTTTTGTTGAATATTTATAATAATAAGATATATATTTTATTTACATATTTTGTGAAATGAGATCATCACCTGGTCATCTGAATAAAATGTTTATTTAACAATGTTTTTAGACCATTATAAGAGGACCTTTCGTCTTGTTCATTTGTCACTCTTGATTGTTAAGGTCATTTATGTAAATTTCATATTATGTGTACTCCAATGGGGAATAAATTTTGACTTAATTTTATGTTAGATATGAAAAGATAAAATTTTATTTACTTTTTACAAGTCTTAAAATTTAGAATTAACAAGGTGTTCCACGTTTTTCATTTTCAAGCATATTTTGACAAGGTCAAAGAATGATGTTTTTGGAACTTTGATTTTATGATAATACTGACAGCTTTAAGTTCCATTCTATCGTTTCATCTTCCTGATATGGCTGGCTTTTTTTCAAATAGATTGCCGGTAATCATATCTAATATGAAAAAAGACAGACTATATATATAAAAAAATTAATATCATATACTGATAATATGATACCTATATTAATTTATTTATTAAATTTCATATTCCTCAAAAACTCAAGTTACTTGAGAACTAGATATTTTCTGAATATAAATATATAATACATATCTGGAATATTGGGTTTTGTCATTTAATTTAAACAATCTATTAAATAAAATAAGTTTCCATGGTAATTTTGCCAGGTGCAACGTTAGTTAAATGAGAAATATGAAAAAGTGATATTGAGCTGTAATTGCCTTTTCTCCATGTAAGTAACAATAAACCCCAATGTGATAATATAGCAGCTTAAATTTTGTGCATTAAGGCTGATTAAGGGTTCATTAGAAATGGATTTTTCAGGAAATATAATTGAATGTTTGTTCCATTGTTCAGTATTTTTCGATTAAATATAATGAAATAGAGTCCATTTGTATTGTAATATGTATTTACAAGTTTCTTAATTAACAACATGTTGACGATTATTTTGAAAGTAATTACAGTGTTCCGTCATCCATTATAGGCTTAGTATTAATCAAAATTGATTATAATTTTGCACCAGTGTCCATTGTGGTAGAAATTTTACACTGGTCATCCAATATTGATTTTCAAATTGAAGCTGAGGAAAACAATTGAAATTTATTAGTTTCTGTAGAAGCAAGACATTATTAAACCAGAAAGTTGAATAATGACCAGAGGGACCATCTTCAAATGTTGCCATAGAATAGTATTGATACATGTTAGGTACTGGTTTTATTGTAAAAGTAGCTTTCAATCCATAATTTTTAAAAAAGTTGATCATTAAAGATTTCAGTGATGTTTATTTGATGTATCAAGATTTTTAATTACTATTTTTTTTTTTCGTTCTTTGAACCTATTCTGAGATGGTTAAGCATATACTGTGTGAAATACACTTGTGAAAAGTGTTGTATTTCATTATAAAGGCATTTCTTAAATCAATAAACAATAAAACATTCATCTTATATCAAAAGTATTTTTCACCATTTCTGTAAGCAAAGTTTTTTGGAAGTACCAATAGAAGTACCCTATGTACTATCTATATAATTACCAAGAATGATAATTAAATGTCAGAATTGAAAAAAAGTATGTTTGTGACAAATAGCAGTCTTTATTACAATATTAGTTTTGCTTTTCAAAAGCGTCAAACAACATAACTTCAGTTTTTTTTGCATGTACAATGGATCACACAGTAAATTCTGATGTCTATCATTGATGAAAGGGAAGTAAGTCTAGCATACAAAGAAATAAATCTTTACATCAACAGATAAGTTCAATTAAGAAGACAATTTGTTTCTTTTTCCTGATTTAAGAGTTTGATGAAAGTTGTCTCCTGCATTTACTTTGATAGTTTAATAACATTATTTTAATTTCTTTAAATTGACA